CGTCCACGAATGCGACTCTTTTCTTTATCCTATGAAAACATTTTCAACTGCGAGAACGTTGAGATTTTTGGGAGAAACGTCACTGAATACTACTCACAAGTCCACGCACGAAATCTACTGGCTTTGCCATACCAACAAGCACATCTTTGGTGCTGGCAAAGAAAGAAGCGATAAATGGTGGAAGGCTCTAGGTTAGTTGAATCTTTTTTTTCTGAAGTGTTTCCTTACTGATGCGGGTGAGGAGATCCGAAATGAGGGGGCATGGTGAAGGCGGCGTTACAGGTGGTGTCGCGCGCGCGGCATTCGCACCACGACGTGTGTGATTTGAAGCGGTGCCACCCAGCTGACAAATGTCGCACACATCGGGCTAGTTTCTGATGTCGCCGAAAATAGGACCCGCATCCCGTTCCAGTCACAAAGAAAACGGTGTGTGACGAAGGCAACGCGCTGACCGTTCATTTTACCGACGCTCATGCGGGCTGAACAAGCTCTTCATGTGGTTATTGAACTGTTCGGTGAATGGAAATGCTATTGTTGATTTCGGATGCAGTCGGGAGGTCCATAGGGGAGGAGATACAGTAAGTGGCTAGCGTGCGCGCTATTTGCCCCACAACCTAACAGATTTCACTCATCATAACTATGCCATGTTCATGGAAACCATGTCGGGAATAGTCTCGATTTAGTCCCAGTTGGGATTTGAAGTGGGGATTTTGGTCGGACTCCGTACGTCCTAACCCCCTAAAAGAGAGGGTCCGATACGCCTCCCCCCTATAGTTCTCTCGTCTGATACGGTCGAGCTGTCGAACCATGGGAGGGGTATATAGGGTATATAGCACATTTCTCAATACCGCCAATTTTTCTCAGAAGGCAAATACGACCTTCTTTCCTAGCAACTGGCAAATACGACCCCCGCCACCCTCCCTCCCCTTTATAGCATCCATAATACAAGAAAAGTCGGCCATCAAGAAAGTTTTTTAGAGCAAATAGGACCGCCAATCGCTTCCCCAGCAACCAAATACGACCCTCCTCCGCTTCCACCTTGAAGGAACGGTGATGAATCCCGAGCTGGAAAATTTAGGGAAATTATAGGTAGCATGGCGGATGGGAAAAAGAGCAAAAGAGTCGTTGCAAAGCAAAAGAAAGGAGCAAATTTTGTAACGGGACATATTTTGCAAAATTTTTCACATTGGCAGGACGTGCTCTGGGATTATGATTAGACTGTGCTGCTCACACCAGTTCCTCGTTGTGTGGGTGAGCGGGGGCAAACGAGCACGCACTTTCGCTCGTTCTTGCCCCCTCTCACAATGGTGGCGCTGCCACCATTGTGAGAGGGGGCAAAACGAAAACGAAAACGAAAACGTTATGCTTCCACGTTTGGAGTTAAGGCTGAATGTACAGGGGGGGGGGGGCAAAAAAAGACATTCGACCGAGTCACATATCAGCAAAGTTTTCGCAGCCCAGACAGAGGACGTGGATACGAGTACCAGGGCGGAAGATACCCAAGATGTTCCTCTATAAGCAGGAGCTGGCTCTCGCCCATCACCTTCATGTACACCAAAATATGAAGTCATCTCCAGTCGCAACCTGACTGGAGAAGACCTTCGGAATTCATGTCACCTCCAAACAGCTGCGAAACTTCTAGTATGGAGTCACCCATGGATAGCTACCTGGAGAGCAGTACTCTCGATCTGGAAGACCTCCATCATCGAGCAGCTCCGTCAACGTCGCTACGGTCTAGGACATCATCTTCACCTCAGTCGCCAAGGCGCCAGTTGATGGTGGGGACCGGACGTACCTGGAATGGAGAGACCGATATTTTCTTCGTGGGCCCCGGACTAAAGGTGAGCGCTGGCGGTTACATTGGGCAACTCGTGAAGAATATCCTCCTCACATGTGGTCGCCCGTACCTTCTTGGAAATGGAACAGCTTATGTACTGCTACAGCATTGAGTGCCACCCTCGAAAGGGCGTTGGGAGAAACTTCTTGCTACTTGTAATGGAAGGGCGTTGAGTACCTGAAGAAGGTGAAATATCTAACGGATAACCTGACCCCCTCAATTACCTGGTTCGGGCGGAGTTCAATAGGGTGGTCTACAGTGGCGGAGAAATCAACGATCTCGCTGAACTCAGGCACCCACTCACGGTCGCGTGGCAGAATCTCTCGATGGCGCTCCTCCAGAAGGCTGTGGCGGAGTGTCATGATAGTATTTGATGTGCTTCTTTAATAATATGGTGGTAGAAATGTCCGATAATAATTTGATAAAGTGTAACTTATAGCGCCTCGAAAGTCGAGGAAGAAAAAAGTTTTTTCCCCCCCCCCCCGCTGTATGTCGCGATCGGCTTGATCATCATCTCTTTCAATTCGTCAATATGTTTATTAGGTGCGCAACTGCGTATTCATGGTTGGTTAGTAGAAGTCAGAAAAGGAGACATGGCGTATGGAGCTTGTGTGGGTTTATCCGACAAGGCGAAAAAATGGTATATAGCCAACAGCGAGGTGATTTTTGAAGCCGTTATGGCTGCTAAAGTGTATCACAGAGTCAGTATTAGTTTATCTAGTCACTGATGATCGAAGCATCTCCTCTCCTTTTGGCAGCATCTGCAGCAAAGAATAAGGTTACCGTAGCTACAAACGCTGCAAACGCTGGCGCTCCAGGAACAGCTTCAGTGGAGGATGAGCCAAAGCGGTTCGTGCAATTGCCTTTGTTCCTTAAAGACACATTTCACGAAGCTCATATGGGCGGAGCCAACCGTTTTAACATTGCTCTTTAGCGCACCTCTTTTTGTCACCTTAGAAGGTGAGAATCACGAATGAGAGGTTCGCTCTTTTCACTGACTGCTCCTACGATCAGCGTGCAATGTGCCCCACGCAACAAATCCATGGATCTCATTAGAACACTGGGAATTTTTA